AGCGACTTCATTTTAGCGACCCCAGGGTGTGCATCATGAAGTTCATCCAGAACAACTGATTGCAGCTTTTTGGGGACTACAACCCGGATCCCCCACAGTACACATCCGTGATGGAGAATGAGTTCAGTCAATCTGCTACGAAAAGGTACAAGTATTTTGGTCGTAGTTTTTGGCCACCTGACCTGAACGTATCGTTTCACTAGGGCTCAAATAGGAACTCCATCGGTTTCTCGGCTTAATTCTGTTCAGGTAACGCCAGAATTGTTAGAATGCAGGATTAGATTCACGAGTTTCTGTGGGGCAAATTCTTCCGAAGGTACTTCAGTTAAAGGAAGCTGACTGAGGGCATTAGCTGTGGTATTTGGCCGGCCAGGGACGTATTGTATTTGGTATGTATATGCAGAGAGAATCAAGGCCCAAGGGACCATTCTGGGTGAGGCCATTTGCTGAATTCCTTTTTCATGGCCAAAAAGTGATACAAGAGGTTTATGATCCACGTAAACCACAAAGTGTCTACCGAGTAAGTATTGATGAAAGCGAACAGTATGGAAAATAACCGCGACAGTCTCTTGATCAAGCTGAGAGTAATTGTGTTCTGCTACCGTCAAGGTCGATGAGAGCCGTCCGGCTGTTTGTGCAATAACACAGTTCCAAGACCGCAGAATGAAGCATCGTAAGGAAGAACAATGGGCTTCCGTAGGTGATAATGCATAAGTACTTCGGCGGATGCCGAAAGTTTCTGGATAGTGTTAAAACCATTTTCCTGAACTCTGTTCCAATTCCAAGGATGGCTTTTGCATGGCTTTTGATGAAGCGGGTGTAAACGGGTTGTCACTGACGGTATGAATCGAAAAACTGCGTGACCAGGCCCAAAAACGACCGCAACTCATTCACATGTTGGGGTTCCGGTGCATTAAGTAGTGCTATAGTCTTTCCTTTCGATGAGCGTAGCCTATGTCGTGATAACCAATATCCAAGATGACGTACATTTGGAACACAGAATTCATACTTTTCCTCCATTTAAACCATGCCAGAATCTGGCAATCTTTGCAGAACGACATCCAAGGCGTGTAAGTGTTCATGAGTAGTGCATCCAGTGATCAAGATGTCATCCAAGTAAGCGCATGTATGTTATGTCTTTCACCAATGAGTCAATACGGATAGCATCAGGAAAACTTTTGAAGTCACTAAATTGCGCAATAAGGATATTGATAGGTAGCCCAGGTCTAGATAAGGTTTCAAACAAGCCTTTGGTTCAAAAACCTGATCGCAAGGCAGCAAGAGCAGGGCATTGGGCTGCAGGGTTTCCGTTTTGAAGAATAAGGAGCGACTCTCACCCCAACCCCCAAACTGGAGGGCCAGGAGACTGAGTTTGTTTGGCTTCAAACTATTGATTAAGCTGGCATAAGTGGCTCTGAATGTGAAGCGCCACCAAGTACAGCTCAGTAGTTCATAGAGACATGGGAACCGTCGCAGTACATTAAAGTCCAAACTCGTTGCGCGACAGGATCTGATACACCAGTATAAGATCACCTTGCAGGTGGCGATTTTGTCTATTGAAAACTCCTAGGACCTAGAGTCAAGATTTGCAAGCCCTTAAGATTTATACTCGTTTCTCAAGACTAAGGAAGTCAGGTTTTTGCCAAGCGTGAGAGATCTGGATGATGTGAACCACATATGGCCTAATGTAAATACATAATATTTGCGAAACTATCGTGGAATCAAACAAGCCAAATGCGCACCACAAAGTGCCCAAGTTTCGATTCGTTTTTCCCACGACTCATTCAGCACATTTTGAGAAACCGAAATCGAACTGCCCGAGAACTCCAACATCACTCATGGGGAGGGCACATTAAAACGTGCTTTCCTGGCTGATATTCGTAAGTTCATTTCGTAAGTACATTTGACAGCGTTAAACTCAAATATATCGTGAGCTGAGAACTCATAACCTCTGTTGAGGTCATCGTGCAGTGATTGTCTACCGTTCTGATGGCCCGCCAAATCTTGAGATCACCCGCTAAGAGTTGACGGTTTGAAGTGAGCTCTCCCGCAAGGTCATTTGTGAGTACCTATTGGGATGTCACATAACAAATAGCCAAACTTACGAACAAGACCGAAGATTCAAATGATCCAGAAAACAGTCCACAACAGAGAGTGAATATTGTAGTAGGAAGGCATCTACGCTCGGCGTCTCAATATTCTTTCTACCCGATTATGCAAACCACGAAGTTATCATCAACAAGTGTGTGCGCAGGCACACCGCGCATCTGAAATCTCATACAGACGGGTAAGTGCCAGCAAGGTGCTCCCAAATACAATCCACACACGACTGCACGCAAACACCGATAAACACAGATCGTAGCATGTGAGCTAGGTGCAGTGTAGCCAATCGCTGCCGAGGTTGTGTAGAAAGCCGCTAGACACCCCACTCCGCAATGCGCGGTCAATCTGCACTGCACCCCACGATGCCGCATGTGAGTCTGAGTTCAAGCGCCACCCATCTGATATGTTACTGGCTGATTTGGAATCGGTCACTCGACGCATAGTACGCATTTAGGGAGGTTGGCGCTCATTGGATGTAGTTTGATGGCGGCAAGAGCCATCCTGCTACTTACGAGTAAGATAAGATAAAATAGCCTCTCTTAGTTTCAAACTGCTATGGATATAGCGTCTAATGAGAGGACGTTATTACCTCGCAGGCCAAACACTGGCAGTGATAGTTGAAGACAGGTGGCGCTATATCCCAGTTAGTTTGCAAATTATGAAGCCCAGCCAATGTCCCCCATGGCTCAGTCGCCTAAGCTGCTGGCATCTGCCTCTAACGATCATGGGTTCGATTCTCCTTAGAGGACCGAGGGAATACGCACCACTGACGAGCCCCAATAGGGCGAAAGGCGTCTGGTGCTTTTCCGGACTAGGCTATGCTATGTTGCTTGTGATCTACTGGGATAAAAACCTCAACAAAATTACAACTAAAATCCTGCCACTTATGAGTAATAGAAAATGATTTCCTTGAGAAGAAATTTGATTCCGCCACGGATGCAACTGACTGAGAATGGGTGTAGTGTTTTGTCCTGATGGCTCCATGACTATTCAGTTTGCTGTGGACAAGAAAAATTTTCTGTTCTGGTGGATGGTGAATAGACCTTAAGATATAACCAGCAATGTAGTGCGCTGATTTTCTAAGTACCGAGATCCTTACACCTTTATTTCAATGGAATTATCAGTTTTGTACATAAGGTCGTGCTTTCCATCCCCACCCATAAGTTCCGGATTTTAACCATCGGAATGCAATATTTATGCCTTAGTTCCATCATACGCATGTCCAGCCACTTCTTTAGCACAAACACTCGATTTTGCAAACTGCTCCAACGTACAAGCTTGTATTACTTATACACACTGAATTAAACCGAAAATAGTTATTTTGTGTAAACAATATTTTCGTGCGTTGGATCCACTCAAAACCAACCGTAAAATGAGCGGAAATCGTATCGCACGCCCAGTCAACGACGTGGAGACCGGGTTCCGTTTGGTAGGCTCTACTCTTGAGACGAACTCGCTGGACCGAACTCTGTCGTAGAGGTTTCCTTGAACATGTTCAACGATTATGTATCGTTGTTGCAACAGCTTGTTTGCAGTAGAAATAGGCCAAGCTAATTATGCTCCCGGCGAATAAGGTCCATATTGGAAGCTGCAGCCCAGGCTTGTTTCCTGTGGTAGATGGACTCCTTGAGAGGCTGACAGCATTTCGGAGCTCGCGCTCGTAAATGACCAACGTGAGGTAAGTGGCAGCAATGAGAGCAGGTAGGCTGTATGCTCCAATTTCGTGAGCTACCAGATTACCTTATCAATAAACACCGTTCGCGCCAAAGTGCCTAAGGAACTCGCACCAGATAGGATGATTAAATCAACTACTTCTCGTGACTGCTAGCTGGTTGCATCAGTGGGTGATGTGTAGCAGCACTGCACCCGGTTGCATGGAAACTAGTGGTAGTCGGCTGATGACAAGAATAAAAGAAGCTACTCGAAATGCCGAGTGGATCAATGCATATAGTCTACCAGGATGATGATGAGATCGACCACATTAGCTAGAAGCCTTGTCCAATATGATGCGATCAAAGCATCATTGGCGTCTTTCCCTTCACACTGTTGGTTGAGCGTTAACACTTTATTCAGATTGTTCACTAGTTTCTCTTAGATCAACCTTTTCGTTTACCTGCTCCCGGCTTATTTTTCAACTTGGATTGAAGTTCGAAAAAATTCGTCGCAGTCGCACTCAGTCGGATGGCGAATGAATATCGAGAGAAACACTAGACGGCTGTGTTCTCCTTGCATGCATCGCCAATTGTGCGCATTCCATCCACACCCTGGATGCATTTCCGGTCAAGCTGATTCCCAGTTCTTCGGGTCGCAATAAAGCTGGTCGGCTGAACAGAAGTAAACTGTGGACGCCATGAAGCAAGATGTCACAGGCTGCGTTAAGTCCCAAAAACGAAGTGGTGACGCTAAGCATACTACTCGTAACCATGTTAAATACAAGTACAAACGCCGAACGGTGTAGACAACTACATTCAAGTTGATAGCGCAAAATTCGCAAACATGTGAAAATATTCACAGAACAAAATGATGTGGTAGCAAGAAGCCCGCTTCCTTGGCGTTGAACGTAATACCAAAGGAGACAAAACTACAAAAAAGAAATACGTGGAAGAATAAATCGAGCAACGCACATGAAATGCCTGGAGATGTAAGATAAGGCCCACTACATCTGGAATGAACAGAGGGGAAGAGTATTTAAAGAAAAGCGCTGAGGGCACCTGAAAGCGGGGAACCAGACAAGTCTTGGCTACATGGTATGAGTCGTGCGCCGTAACTTCATGCAGTGAACACATCGTCATTCTCGATGACCACCAGGGAGGCACGCACGGTATCTACATCTGTATTAGCAATGGAAAGTTCCAGTAGGAGGGTCGTATATATAAGTCGTAGAAAGAGCTGATTCTGCGCTGCGAGATTTGAGCCGATGAGGTTTATTAGCTACCACAGATCTGGAGGAAATGGTACCTATCCGATGGCAAGATAGAGAGCGTCTGAGGAGGCTCACATGCGAGGCGAAAGATTTATCATTTGATGCGACCTTCTCACTGTCTTGTAGCTCCGACTCCGTGGCTGCGATGGATGACTGAGATGGGGTGCCTTCGAGTACGTACAACTGGCAGGCTGATGCTGCACATATCCTATATGATCGTGGGTGCCAAGCAACGCAAAGTAGTTTGCGCTGATAATCCAAAGGACAGATATCACATGGACGGGCTCATGGCTATCAGTGGAGGGGAAACTATAATTGTCGGGGGAAAAATGATCTAGTGAGCTTGAAAGTGTGGTACCATTAACAGGTTGGAAGCTGACGACCATTTCTTCTGAGAACCGGGATTCTGCGCGACTAGGCTCATCCAACCTGGGCAGTTGCTGCTTTCGTCGACGTCGTTGAGAGTTCGGTTCGGGAAGCGCGTCGGGATTGTCGGAACTCGAACAATAGTTTGAATCGAAGTCCCTTCGACCCGGTGTGTGATGGCGAAAAACAGCTGGAAACAGGATCGGACAATGACTCGGTAGCATTCGGAGCAATCATACCTTTCGAGTTCGGAATCAACCGCAGTTCTCGAGGTGCGCGGTGATATGAGTCGAAATGCTTCGATTCCCTAGTAGAGTCGTTGAGTCTACCGTTGGAAGCGCTGCCGACATTACTAGTGGTGGTAAGGTGGTCAAACACCGAGTGAAAGGCACCCATGGAAGTGACGCAAATCGATGACAACCCCAAAGAGACACCAACGGGATCATCAAGTGAGATAAGCAGCTTGGGGTGCAAAGAAATCGGATAATGGGATTCGGGATCCATGGCAGTCACATCATGACCGTTTAAATCATACAGCCAACTGGAGGACCTGTGGCGATCGAACACGCGGAGTAAACTGCCATAAGAGCCCGTGGTGATGTAACTGTATAAAGAGAAGGAAAAGGGAAGCGTACAGAATCTTGCATCTGGAGAACCAGCTCAGGTTGGCTAAAATGCGGATAGTGGAGGGGCAACGAAACTACTAAAAATACTTTACTCCAGTTAAAGTCACTCAGTTCATATCACGAAAGTAAGAGGGAAACAGCTAATTACAGTTGATTGATACAAAATAATAATCAGAGGTAAATGAGATGGAGGTGGACTGGCGAGTTTATTTCATTAAACATACGAGAATGGGAAACAAATAAAGCTAGAAGAGCAGTCGATCGTAGACATCAGATCAACAAAAGCTAAGAGCGTAAGCGGAGAACGTAGGCTGTCCGCTAAATGCAAAGGTCATCAGCAAGGATGTGCTACGAGCTTTGACCTATCCGATGAATTTGGGAATCGAGTGAGAATTGATCGGACAGCAAATACCAGCCCGCTGCAAACGAATCGAACTATTCCGTCAATTTGATAAACCAGTTAAGCGGAATTCACTCACTGGCTGAAAACCAGACGCAGAAGAGTGAGTGACTTTGATCTCCTAAATTAGCATGGTTCGTTTACCAATAGATAGAGTTAACCTATCCTGGAGATATGCACTCTGTCTACTGAGTTCTGGGCATTTCGTGTTCCTTCGGTTGGCTGGGCGCGTGGCTGAGCAGTCAGACAGTTGTAATCATACAGGGTAGCATAACAGCAGTACAACAGTTGTCAGTGGCAGAGAGAAGAAGTGTTACAACAGTGGAGACGCGAGTTTCAATCGAACCCAGAATGGTGGTCAGCTTCGAATAATTGAAGGCATTTTTGCAGCTGTTCGAACAGTGAAAGAGGCAGTTGATCGAATTGCTATCACAAAAGGTAATCATTCAAATAGCATGGGAATCGGAACTGAAGCTGACATCGTAAGAAATGGTTTCAGAATGCCAGAGGTTACGCAACTTGAATCCTGGTACAAATGTGGTCGCAAATTCGAAAGCCAGGGATGAGCAACGCTTCTGCCACCCTGCCAGTTCAAAACCTGATGTGCCCATCAGACCTGGGGATGCGACGGCATAAATCAATGGCAGTCAGATTACGCAGATGAATAGGAAGGACATCGTGCCGTTGCGTTCATATTCATCAATGAACTTTGCCATACGCCGAGTTAAAATGGGACAAAATTTGCTTTGCGCACTGGTGACTGACTGTCACACAAAATATACCATCCAAGTATCTCCCGTAGTAAGGTAGAGCCTCCGATGACTCCGCTCAGATAGTTGTTTAATTCGCTTATGAACACATCTGCTATCATCGGGCCTAGCGATAAGCTCATCGCTACTTGTCCTTTTGTCCGTATATTGTCCCATGAAACTAAACTTCCATGTCGCCAGTACTCATCATGAGCAGCTGTTTAAACCGATCGTTCGAAAAATCGACATGCAACTGATGTACCGGTGCTTCAAGGGGAACGGCGACTTTATTCAGCATGAACATCAACAACAGCACATAGCTATTTTATATTACTGATAGAATCCGAGTAGCTCGCAAACAACCAACTGTATAACTTCACATTCAGCACAATCCCCTCGGGTTTAATGCGGGTTTCCGTCATTCTTTACCACGCTCCGACGCATTGCTGGAAGCATTCTTCCACGATGCTCCTTAATACCAGCGTCGCTTAGAGCAATATCAATTGAGTATGAGGGCTGTTCTAGTATAGTAATTTTTTCTCGGTCAGGAATCTCCGGGTGCCCGGAGCGTTATGAGCAGGAGTATAGTCATGAAGAAGCATCCACGATTTGCTGTCATAGTTATCGTCTGTTAAAGCGCACTCAGCGAAGCAAACGTTTCAGTAATAATGCAACAATAATTGGCATAAGTGCGACATAGTCAATAGTCAGGTTTGAAGTGCATGTGACCCAGGTGCAGTAAATGAAAGTTCATAATCTAATACGAAAAAGGAAATAACGCAGTGCCAAACATATCTGGCGACAATTAACATGTGCCCAACATTTACAGATCACACAGTGAGGCTAGGGAGGGAATATTAACAGTCACTTCACAGTGGGAAATGAAGGACCATGTATCAGGGGAGGAGTCTGCTGCTACGAAATGAACAAATTGGTGGTTTAACCGAGCGATCCATCTGTGCCTTTCACGGATGGACGACACACCGGTGTTAATTGCAATTTGGGAACGCACGATGTCATAGTTAGCCGCTTTCAATCAGTACTGGTTGCAGTCGAGCAAGGAGCTGGTTGAACACCTTGAAGACATGACGATCGCAATGTCACATAATGTGAATGACTGGTTTACCTGGCGACCAGCTGGTTGGTGTTAGCCTGCTGGCAAATGGGCCAACGCATTCGTTCGAGGATGACTCGGTTTCCGACACCGGCGCAGTACGTTATACAGGACGACGAAATCAGCGAGAACGTGCTCATTATTAGTAATCTGTTTAACTCAACTCGCACGCAGTTCTGTTTGCACTGACTGCCGTTGCAGCACATCGAAGAGCACGTACGTGGTCAACCACGGAGGTCGCCGAAGTGCTCTTGTATGACGGCAACGGAAGTCCCTAGGTTGATCTGTACGATTGAAACTGGGACGCCTACCGAACGAGTTCACTGAAACACCATCTACGCTGTGGTTGATGTGATATCATCACCAGCTGTTGAACCTCCGTGTAGGAGCGACACTTTTGTAAAGGATGGAACAAACGTAATCGTTTAGGACTGCTACGAAATGGACCGTAACATGTCATACGTATGTGCTGGAAGCGATGTTCTCGTCGTGCTCGTAGTAGTCCAGCATGTGCACAATCCGACGACCGTCACTTCTACGTCAGTTGCACAATGCGTTACTGGTATCCTACCCTGCGCCTAGGTGAATAACACAAGCTGAATGGACTAGTTTTTGTCACGGGAGGAGTGTTGACAACAACACCGGGTATATTCATGAATACCGTAACTTTAACCACGGCGGACTGCTTATCAAGGAATAGGCCAAGCGGTTTATCCGTAAAGAGGAAATCCTGTCGTTTCGATACCTTGTGAGAACATTATCCTCAGCATCGTGGAATCACGTGGAGGGGAGCAGTGCAATAGAAGGTGTCGTCGTGAAATTACGTATCCTTGTAAGTGCACAGCGAAAATTAGATCGGTGACACGAGAAACAGCTACATACAGAGCTTGCACATTATTTAGTGAACCCAACTGATAGGCACGTATAGGTTGAAGTTGCAAACCTATTTCAAACGCTTTTGACAGGGCGGGGGTATTTCGGCCGTAAATAAATGTTAGTGGGTATTTGCGTATACGCTTTTGCAGTGCAATTGCACCTCAACCCTCGAAGACGGTGACCACACCGCTGTCGGGATCGACTTTACTGCATCATCGCTGTTCGCATTTTACAGCGGAGGTTGTAGGTTACAGGGATTTCCTGGCGACGTTGATGATAGCTCTTTTGGATGCATCGCAACCACACACCTTCGTAAACTACGATGAGTCGTCGTACTCTGCACTTGCAGGCTCCGCGATGTACGCCTCTTTCAGGTGGATGGCGTGTTCTTTCGATACGAAGATAAACAGCGGCATAAAACGCCGAACAGTTGCGCATTAGTTACATAAACGGGTTTGGTCTTATTTGAGTGAAATGCACGACATCTCGCTCAATGCGCTCAAGGAGCGACAGCGGCCTTCGACTACGCGATAATCAGCCGACTTCTCAAAATGGCACCTTTGCCGTGTAATGTGAAAAACTGTCACAAATTGTTCCGCACTCCACGGTATAATACCACAGCGGCTGCACTATTGAACAATACATTTAAATCTTAACCTATAATGCAATCACATTTGTGCGGAAGTGCATAATTATATGCTGAACTGTACCAATTTGCAAATGATGAAAAGCAAAAATCCACGGAATTTCTAATAATCCGTTGGTCGTTCACGGCTATCACTCGGTGAAATTCCAACGACAGTCTTGCATTATCCTTCTCCATTTCCTCTATTTACGTCTGAACTTTACGGTTATTTGTCGGAGCTCCACGGCAGCCGAATTTGCGGCCCTGATCTGATTAATTACATGGTTTATGAACTAGGAGCCACTCATCCTGTGCTAAGTCGCAGGCATTCTACATGTCGGGGTACTTGTAGCGGTTTCTACTCATAATCTGAGCGCATACAGACACGCACTCACACGATGTGATCCATCGTGTTTTTCAACTAACTGTCACCCTGCCTATTTGACGCCGTATCCGCCTGTTGGCTGAAGCCAATGAAAGGATGGAAACACGGGGGGCACATAGTGGATTTCACCTCACTAAAGGGGACGATGGTTCCCTACGATTGGTCATTGTCGCGGTCGCCTTATTGACTGATGACCCATTGGTTGAGCATGAAGCCGCCAGTTTATCTTGAACCGTTACGCAGTGCAACACCATTAATCATGGCATGGTCCACGCAGGAGTTGACGGAGCTGTTCATGCTGAGGACACAAGGAAGGAGCTTGCGCGCCGCGTGTTCCGAGTTCAGCCGCCGTCACCCGGAACGTCCGACGCCACGATTTCAGCTTTGCCATGCGGTTGTTCGTCGGATGCTCAAAACCGGCAGCGTCAAACCAAGGAAGCCCCCAGGAGCGAAACGCACAGCAACAGGCGCCTGTCACGTGAATTCGCTTCAACGATTTGTCGCTTCAAATCCAACTACCTCGAGCAGTAAGGCGGCCGCTTGTTTGGGCGTCTCCGTGGATTCCGTTTCCATGATGTTGAAGAGAGATGGTTATCGCAGATACAGCTCGCGCACAGTGCAGACCCTTTTTGTGCACGACCCGGAGCATCGTTTAGCGTACTGTGATTGGTTCAGAGACCGGCTAGTCACACAACCAAAGCTGTGTGCAGACATAATCTTTTCCGATGAGTCGACGTTTTATCTGAATGAGCCGATGGCGTATAAACACAGACGTCAGTGGTGCCGTGAAAACCCCCGATACTTCGTGGAATGCCGTAATTTGCGATTC